TACTACCTCCCTGGAACCTATTTACTCTGCTCACCTAATTGTTCTTGCGGGGATTCAGCTTGAGGTCTTTGGTCCCGCCACTCAACTGTCAGTCTACTGGTGTACAGGTTCCTGAGTCTATTCGGCTGTATCGAATCTATCGGACATGAATCATATCATGTCCCGATGAATTTCATATGTCAATTTGACACTGAAACAATTCTTTCTAACGTCCAAGTGGCTCATTAGTGTACTAAGTTTCCACTTGTGTCCTTTTGTTCGTGTTCTACTCGTGTTAAAAATTACATTACCTTGTCAATTCCCCAGAGAATTTTGTATATGGGAATCATATCCCTCCTAACTCTTCTGGCTTCCAATAACGTGAGGTGCAATTCACGTAGCCTCTCCTCATAACTCATACCTCTTAGTTCTGGAACTAGTCTAGTGCCATACCTTTCAATCTTCTCAAACTTCGTATTATTCTTGACACGATATGAACTCCAGGCTAGAACCGGATACTCCAGGATCGGTCTGACATATGTGGTATATATGGTTCTAAATGACTCCTTACACAAATTTCTAAAGGCAGTTCTGATGTTAGCCAACCACGCATGTGCCACTGACGATATCAATTCGATGTAGGCTTCAGGAAATAGGTTCGGTGTGATATCAACTATTAGATCCCCTCTCTCTCTCTCCGTTTCTTGGAGGACTTCATCTCTCATTTGGTACTGTGTGTGTGTGTGTGTGTGTGTGTGTGTGTGTGTGTGTGTGTGTGTGTGTGTGTGTGTGTGTGTGTGTGTGTGTGTGTACTCACCTAATTGTGCTTGCGGGGGTTGAGCTTCGGCTCTTTGGTCAGTGTGTGTGTGTGTATGTGTGTGTGTGTGTGTGTGTGTGTGTGTGTGTGTGTGTGTGTGTGTGTGTGTGTGTGTGTGTGTGTGTGTGTGTGTGTACTCACCTAATTGTGCTTGCGGGGGTTGAGCTTCGGCTCTTTGGTCAGTGTGTGTGTGTGTGTGTGTGTGTGTGTGTGTGTGTGTGTGTGTGTGTGTGTGTGTGTGTGTGTGTGTGTGTATGTGCGTGCGCATGTCACCAACACTCCTGCTGACACATGTCGATCACCTGATAAGGTCTCACCTGCGTCAATAATTAGCACAGCCAGGGCCCGGCTGATTACTAATTAGGAGTCCCTTCCACAACGTGTGTCAAGGGCGGTGAGATAACTATACAAGGAGTGAGCTGACAGGAGAGAGGTGGGGGGGGGAGGGGAGGAGGGAGAGGATGTGGAATAGGAGGGGGGTAAGTGCAGGGACGAGCGTTCGGGATTGGGGATAGTTGCTGGAGACAAGGGATAATGGGTAGTGTTTCCCCTTTCCCCCTTTCTGAGAGGGGGAAAGGGGTTCGTGTTGACATGATGATGCTATATACACACAGATACATACATACTTTTATATTTTAAATATATTTTCTGCAGGAAATGCCGGATGATTGATGTGTAAATGCGGATCGCTACCAATAACAGCCTGGGAGAAAAGGTCCAGCTCTAGGTCTTACTAATTAATAAGTTGATGATGAGTAACTTTCTCTTTGTGCAGGCGATGAGTCACAATAACGTGGCTGAAGTATGTTGACCAGACCACACACTAGAAATTGAAGGGACGACATAGACTTCATAATAGTCTGTCGTCCCTTCAATTTCTAGTGTGTGGTCTGGTCAACTTTCTCTTTCTTTGTCTTGTCTACAATAGTCGAAGAAATGCAAAAAATCACATTGCCGCGAGAGTTTAAATTAAATAAACATTGTTTTTCCACTGAACAAGTGTGTTATTCCACTGAAGCTCACTTTTCCTCTCAATCATTGACCTCTTATCATGCCGTTCTCCAACATCTTCCCTTCAAATTAGGAGACAAGTGTTAAACAAATATACGAATTGATGTGATGAGACATAGATAGAAAAAGCCTCACGTGGGCCAACATTTTTAGATTAACTCGCTGCATATGGAGGCCAAACTCGTCCTTCGGGCTGTGGCAAGATGGTTACAGTGTCACATAATAGTCTTAGGAACTGGACCTACAATAAGAAACGCAATTTATACTTGTGATGAGCTTGTTTCAATTAGTTTATAATGCATCGGTGGAAGGTTTTCAGTCACGTCCATGAAGACCAACCTAAGAAGACCAACTTAATTAGGATATTAGCAAGTATAACATGTTATATTTAATCGGATGAGAGGACATGTATATAACTTGTCCTCTCATTTGACTGCATGTATCCTTTCTTGTAGTTACTCCTTATTTCCGACTGACTGATAGTCTCTACTCCTCCCTGTTGCACCCCTTCACTATCCACCCCTTCACTATCCACCTTCTCACTATCCACCCTCGCCACTCCCCCACTCCCATGTTTCTTACCCATCTCCCTTCCATCTACTCTCCATATCTTTCTCCATGCCCCTTCCCCCTCTCCTTCAATATCCCAATTCTTAAACATCCCCCAACCACTCCTTACCACATGACCCCTACCTGTTGACCCCTCTCTACCACACGATCCCCTCCGACACGACCCTCTCCACCACGACCCTCTCCACCACGACCCTCTCCACCACGACCCTCTCCACCACGACCCTCTCCACCACGACCCTCTCCACCACGACCCTCTCCACCACGACCCTCTCCACCACGACCCTCTCCACCACGACCCTCTCCACCACGACCCTCTCCACCACGACCCAACAAGACCGCCAGAATAAAGGCACCTCCACATCTGTCATGACTCTCCCAAGCAGACGGGGCGTCACCAGCGGACACACCTGCCGCCCAACCATGCAAATTAGTGGCCCGAACACGTCACCTATCAGAGGACGCGATAAACACGCTTCTGCGTCAGTTGGTAAAACGTGTGGGAGACAGTTCGGGTTCCGATCTAAAAATTCTCGGGACACTAAAATCGAATATTTACTGACTTGATGGCCCCTCGAGGATTGGAAAAAAAAATGATTATGGCTCAACGAAGTCTCTCATCAACGATATGTGTCATTGATGAATATTTTACGCTTGATGTATATTCTGGAATTAAAGGAGATGGCTGCTGATGAATTCCAGGCGTTTTTACGCAAGTCTCAAGGTCTTAACCTCCGTAGATGGAGTATGTAAGATTTTCAGTTTTGCTTCGTTTCACATTCTACAGCCTCCTACACCCCACAGCACCTGCCACCCCCACCCCCACACACACACATACCACCTTTACATCTCATACAACATCCCTCCCACTCCCACACAAGGCACTCCCACATCCTAGCGTCTCCCTCCCCCACCATACCCCTACACCTACTTAAGACCCGTCCAGCACCATATCCAGTTAGTCCCATTCTTGGTAAAATATGTGGCTTAAACGGATATCCAGTTTCCCTATTATCCGGACGCGATGTCGCCTAATTATAAGGTGGATGTATCGGGCCTCCATCTTAATTGTGGGCCGGTGTCAATGGGTGTCCGCTGGGCGGCCTTATCTTGTCAGCTGGAAATGTCAGCCCACCACGCTGACGCCGCCACCTCCAGATGCCCCAGCACCTGCCCCTATTCCCACCCTTTCACCCTAAGCTTCCCTATCCCCCATTCCCCTCTCCCCCTAGCTTCCCTACCCCCCTACCCCCTTAGAACGAACCGCTATTGCTATCCCTCCCCCCCCCCCCACCCAACCATCCCTACTGATAACACCCCTTCCTGACACCCTCCCATTTGACTCTTACATGTCTTGCCTCCTCGTAAGATAACACATATTTGATGTACAGACCTGACATTTATATTACATGTAAGGCTGGTGACGTTATGCTCGCTCGGTGGCCTATTTTGGTGCTCTACGCCGTTATATGCTTGATGAGTGGCCCATCATATATATTATATGGGCCCATATAATCATATGCCTGACGAGTAGGCTTGTTCGTGATTTCCTCGCTGCGTTTAGAACATCTCTTTGCAAACAACAATGTTATAATTAGGAAGAACAACTATAGGAAGAACATAGCACAAACCAGATGAACAAGAACAAGAGGCCATATATAAACTAACAATAAAAGCTATAATCTAAACTAGCATTAACCTAATTACAATAATTAGGTTATACGTGTTAGTAAAATTATGATAATTAGATCTAATTAAATAGAATAATATTTTTATTTCAAATAAAATCACAACTTGTACAACTTGTGTACTGATGATGCTTATTAGTTAAGTTGTCAGTTAAGTTATTAGTTAAGTTATTAGTTTATAATTAGTGTTATTTGTCCCACTGTCAGTGGGAAAAAGACTACTTCAGCAATTGGTACTACTGTTTCAATAACAATAACAACTAGTACTACAATAATTACTTCGACTATTAACAACTGCACTTATAACTAACTACAATTAACAACTACAATTAGTTGTTAATTAAATACAATTAACTAACTATACAACTCCAACAATTATTTCAACAACAATTATTTCAACAACAATTATTTCAACAACAATTATTTCAACAACAATTATTTCAACAACAATTATTACAACAACAACTACTACTACTACAATTAATACAACACCTACAACCGCAACAACAGTAACTTCGACTACAACAATAATACAACAGCTTCAACTGCTCAGACTACTTTAAGAAGATAACGTCACACCATTCTGGAAGAAGCGAATGTCACATATCACACTTTAACAAGGCAATTAAGTCGCTTCTAAGTAATTAACGACCAATTAGTATTACTTCAGACGGTAGTAAGCTCACGGAGACAATCATCCGAGATGATTCACAGTGACATGAAGTAGATCGTCAGTTAATTAAGAAACTTTCATCAAATCTTCCAAATCTTCAGGAGAAATCATTCGTTTTTAATAAGCTTGAATTCTTTTCTGATAATTGTTATTTTTACTTTGATATCTCGGTGGAAAAGGTGATAAATTAAGATCACTTTTAAACTCAATTGATGATTGTTTGATATCAATTTAAATATGATTAAATTTGATCTATGTTTAGATTTTGGTATGTTTGATGGGAATTTAGATTTCAGTAAATTTCATTGAAATTTAGCTTTGAGTAAACTCGTATAAAATTTTAATTTTAATTTGGATTTAAGTGAAACTTATCTAAATTTAGATTTGAGTAAAACTTATATCAATTTAGATATTAGTAAATCTGACCTAAATTTAGATTTGTGTGAATTGTATCTAATTTTAGATTTGAGTAAATCTGATTTAAATTTAGATTTGAGTAAATTTTCTCTAAATTTAGATATGAGTGAAAGTGATCAAAATTTAGATTCCAGTAAATGCGATTTAAATTTAAATTTCTCGATGTATTTTATCTAAATTTAGGTTTGCGAAAATCATTTGGTTAAGCAATGGTTCAGGATATTCTGACGAAGGTATAGGTAACTATGAGGTAAATATATCAGGTAAAGTTTATTATACAACACTTGAAAGTAATTTGAAGGCGGAGTGAAGGAACGATGCCCAATCATTTCGACCACTGGGGATCGAACGCCGGACTGTGAGAGCGAGACCGAGCATTAAAATGGATTTGGTAGAAATCTAGAAAATTCCGGTGGAGTTTTACCTTTTACCACAGATGTTCTTGAAAGGATCCAGTAACCCTTTCGTGTTTCACCTCCAATAACAGATGTTCTCGTTAGTACCCAGTAGCCCGGTTGGGTATTACCAACAACAGATGTTCTCGTTAGTACCCAGTAGCCCGGTTGGGTATTACCAACAACAGATGTTCTCGTTAGTGCCCAGTAGCCCGGTTAGGTATTACCAACAACAGATGTTGTTGTTAGTACCCAGTAGCCCGGTTGGGTATTACCAACAACAGATGTTCTCGTTAGTACCCAGTAGCCCGGCGGGGTATTAACAACAACAGATGTTCTCGTTAGTGCCCAGTAGCCCGGTTGGGTACCACCAACAACAGATGTTCTCGTTAGTGCCCAGGTGCCCGGTGAGGGCATCACCTCCAACATACACCATATCACGGAGCTGTCTAATAGCCGTGTATCAAGAGGGCGTGGGGTGGGAGGGGGTAAGAAATATTAGTGTTGGCCTATCAACAAGCTCTAGAGGGTTATTAAAGCCAGTGCTTTCTATCCAGGAAACAATAATACCTTTTGTACTGAGCATATACCAGAACTGAAGCAAACTCTCGGTGTAAATACACCGGAAAGTGGAGTACACGTCTCTATGTACAGGAGGAGGCGACAAGTGTAATTATCAACAAAAAACGCTGAGCCAATATGACTGTTTTGCACTTGAAAAAGATACGAGGACACAATGGGAGCCGAGATATGAGGCTTGAGTGAAGGAATTATGCTCGAGTACGTGCACCATTGGTTTCAGTTCTGGCAGATGAACCGCCCAAAGTAGCACGATTTTCGCCACGGTCTCTCGCTCATCTTGGAGACTTTGGTGGATATATTTTGTCGCTAAGATGTTATCTGGCGCTTTCCGCGTGAGTTTGTGAGATGCCAGAGATCATATCAGAGTCTCTGAGTCTTGCTCCGGAGACATTCAGCTTATCTGATCTGTAATTTGGTGAACTAAATTGATAGTTGGGCAACAATTCTCGTCCACCATTTGTGGTGACTATTCTCACGCTGATTGGTGTATCAATCTCACACAAATTGGTACATCTGTGTTGTACAGTTTATCTTTCATTAGTATTTACATGTCTTTAACATGCTTTTACGAAATACGAACAGCGTAAAATATAACGAAGATACTTTCTCTTGCAAAAGCTATTTTGAAAAGCGTTAACTTCACTGGGAAAATGGAACGGTTACGTATAGCAGAATGTGTAGAGTATTTTACAGTAAATGTTCCGTTGAGGGGTTGGGAAGCCGTCCCCAAGTCATCCATTACTGGGCACTCTAAAACACTCTAGCATCAATTTCCTCTCTTCTTGTCACTGTGAAGATGGGAGGGGAAGATAATGTCGTCATAATCCGGCCGTCGTTGGTGCATTATCGCCGGGTGTAAATGAGCTGTGGGGTGGACCACGATTGGCACAAAAAGAGAAGGAAGGGGAAGAGGGAGACAACAGAAGGGTAGATAAACAGTGGAGGTACAAAGAAAGAGAGATCGATAGATAGATATACAGTTAGATAATAGATGGAGAGAGAGAGAGAGTTAGTGATGAAATTTATTTATTGAAATGAAGTTGATTCCTCAATGGCTATGAAAAGAAACGTAGTCAACCTAGCAAGCAAGAATGATAAGAAACTTACAAATCTAAGTCGAATCTCATTACCTTCTTGACAGCAAGGGGGTTACAAAACTTTATATAAAGAAGATGTTCGCTTCCGTCTTGAGTATGTCCCACTCAAGACGTGGGACTTGAGTATGGCCTGACCATCATCTTTTATCTGAATTTTGGACAAGGTGGAAAACCGTGCATGAAGGTTCATCTCAAGTCCTCATCCCTTTTGGATGGATTGGTTTGAAGATAACAGAGTCTTCAAAACCGGTGAGATGTCGGGGGTCTGAGTGATATGTATAAGGCTAATATTTTCAAGGTTCTGCACCTGGTCCAACCTCGTTGACAATATGACATCACTGATATCGGGGTTGATATCACACCAAACTTGTCCCCAGAGTCCCACATCAAAAGAATATCCTCAGCGGCATATGCTAGACTGGCCAACATAAAAACTGCTTTTAGAAACTTGTGTAAGGAATCGTTCAGGACTTTGTATATTACGTATGTCAGACCAATCCTGGAGTATGGAGCTCCAGCCTGGAGTCCATACCTAGTTATACACAAGACAAATTTAGAGAAGATTCAAAGGTATGCCACCAGACTGGTCCCGGAACTGAGAGGTATGAGCTACGAGGAAAGGCTAAGAGTAGTGAACACAACTAGGTGAGTACACACACATTAATAGAGCCCAGTAGGCTCAGGAATTTGTACATCAGTTGATTGACGGTTGAGAGGCGGAACCAATGAGCCAGAGCTCAACCCTTGCAAGCACACTTAGGTAATTACACACAAACACACGCACACACACACACACACACACACACACACACACACACACACACACCACACACACAGAAGCCACAAACAGCAAGGCAAACACGCTACCATATTTTTGCGACCCCTCCACCTCAATCCCCGAGCACCTTTCCACCTGTTGTGAATACCTTTACCTGTCTTAATTACTGCAGGTACGACTCTCTCACCAGCCTCAGTCGGCTCTTGCCTATCTCGTTGGCGCCTCTTGAACCAACTTAACCCAACACTGGCAGACTTTTATTTTTGCTATAATACTGCTCCCAGGTGGCAGGAATGTGAGTTGGGGTGGGAGCAGAGCATGTGGGAGGAGAGGGGGAA